CCGCCGTTTTCTTCGAATGAAAGAAGAAAATCAATACTTCCCGCATATGACGATTTATTATTTGGCACAAAATCAGACATTTTCACACAACCAAAAGAATATAACGTCAAAATAAAATCACTAATGTGTCGAAGCGGTTTGTTTACCATATGTCTAAGCTTGGTTCATGACGTTTAGATTATGTCAGAATCGACCAGCACTTACTGCTGGAACCATCTATTGACAAACAGCGGGAACTTAGTTGCGCACCTAATATTAACTTACAATTAATTTATTATGACGTTTAAACTTAAATTTTTCATCGTACAGTTTTTTATCTAATCAAGATTAGATAAAATTATTATGTTATGTCATAATTAAATTAATAAATTTATTATTGTATATATATATAGTGTGCTCCATATACCTCATATCGATAAAATACATTTTTTTTTTCAAAAAATAAACATAAGATACATCTTCCATGTTTCTTCTCTTTCCGCGTGCACGCGAACTGCCTTATCTTTTACATTCAAACATACAATATCGAACAGAAAATGGATTGCGAACATGCATTGCTCGATTAATTCGCTCGCTTTCTGCGACGTAATAATTCTGGAAAGAATATCATCGTAATCTAGAAGGTGTTGGTAAAAGAACCTCTTACCGCATTCCTCGCAGCGATAGGAGATTAATGTTGCAGCAAAACGGTGCAACTTCTCAGGATCTACGTGCGATCGAATGTATCTCAAGGCGCGAGCGGGGCGAGCTGCATAGAAGAGATCATTTGAGGGCATGATCTACGCGCATATCGAATACCTGGGAACGATCGTCGGCTTCCTCCAGATACTGGAAGGAAAGAGGGGTCCCACCTTGTGCCACCCCCCCGGCCCTCCTTTGACGTTGCATTCACAATGCACTCCGCTTTAAGCCGTTGCACCGCCGCCGCAAAGAAGGAGCGAGCGCGTGTAGCAATTCGATTGCAAAATCGACCGAGAGGTCGTAACAATCCTTCTGTCCGTTCT